TACGCGTTAACTCATCCAATGAAACTTTTTTTGAAAAAAATCTGATTACTTTTATGCGCTTGAGCTTATTAGCTTCTTGAATCTGTTTCTAGTATATGGGTAACTTCCATACAGCTCAGTTCTGGATTTCTGCCATATTTTGTGGATCAATTTTTGCACTGTGAATTAAAGAAACGCTTACAAATTTTTCCATTTTTTGACGTCAAAATAATCGCTACGATGAGCTGAATTCAAATATGTAAATTATAACCCATTTTGTAGAAAACACGAAAAACACGCGATTTCGCGTGTTTTTCGCATTCTGTCGAAGAATTAGCGCGCTTACTGTAGCCTACTTGTCTCCGTCGCTGTCTCTCTGGCGCTACGATGTTTTGCAACTAGTTCAAAATATCACATAATCATTTACACTATTAATGATTTATTGAATTCGTGTACCATGAATCAACCTAGGCCTAATCTTCAGGACTAAAAAGAATGCAAAACTTATTTCGTTATAACTTTATTGAATCGGCTGAATTGAGGCTCATGCATGCATTTGTATCTCTAATTTTCTGCTGAAGATTTGACTTAGACAGCTAGAGAATTTAATTTTCATATAATTCTTTGTGTCCTGCAACTGTTTTGAGATATCAATACGATACTGGTCCGGTAAAAAGAGAATGATATGAGCGATAAAAATTTTTAAAAACCTTCATCCATCTACCGTATTCTTTCGTAGTGTTACAAGAAGTACTTATCATGCAATTATGGGAGCATTTGTTTAGAATAATATGTACAAACTCTAAGATAGTCCTAAAGCAATGATGTGGTGGTTCTTAAGCTAACTGAGGGAGCATGTTACGATCTAGCGCATTATTACTAAATCAAGCATTTGAGTATTATTCAATCAGGGATTCGGAGCGAGACTATCTTCTACCAGAAAAAGCAAATAGAGCCTCAAAAGAACGCTCAGTGAACAGTGGAAGAAGTGATGGAAAGGGAAACAACAGCCGGTATCTAGGAGTTTTGCAAAACCAATCTTACCAAATTGAGTGAAGAGAAAGCATTATAAATTGCAGAGACACCTCGTACCGAAGTTCCCAAAACTCTTCAAAAAGAGATGGCAACCCGGTAATCGACGTTGAATTAGTCGAAAGAAACTCGCGTAGCCGTACGTCACCACAAATGATAGCTTCTCACCATTTAGAAACAGAATTTGTGACACCGTAAGTGTGCCTTTTGCTTTTGTCTGTCATGCTCTCCACAAAAAATGAATTATAGTGCTCAAAGTACTGCTGAGGAAGGAGAGGATTTGAGTCGTAAAGATGAAGAAAGGTATGTTATTCGCAAATTTATCAAAAAGAATCAGATGAAGAACAATCCAGATCCTTGTCGAATTCCCAACAATCGTCGCGGGATCGTAAAGAGCGAGCAATTCTACAAACAGCGCGAACTTTGCTGAAACCTATTGCTAAAGCAAAATCTCGCTCGACGTCGTGGTAAGCATAATCATCTGACATCAAATAAGTAACTGAGTGGTGCTAAATTGGAAACATTTATGACATAAGTACTTTTGTTAAGCACTAATCATTCTGACGCCGGTCACAATCAGGACAACACCCGTCCACCTTCCGCAGATGGTTCACTTAGCGACCCAGCGCCAGTATCTGATCCACTGTGGAACAACGCCAACCCACATAGCAGGTAAATGCAGTACTTACTCTTTGTACCTACTCAGTTGATTTCAATGTTTAGCTATACCTCAGCGATGATGTCTCCCATAATGACAGAATTGTTATCAACAGACGAGGGAACTGACGATGAAAGGGCACATCTTATTCCTGATAGGTAATTTTAAAATGTAGAAATGAGAAATTAGAAATATTTGCTGTTGTTTTCAGACCGTCAGTAACTCAGCAATTATTCGCAAAGCGGGTGAGTACGCAATCAGGAAATTTCTTATCTGCTTTTTTCACCAACTTTGAAATAGTCATTCACTAAAATAGCAACCCGCAATCCTGTTCTATTCGTAAAAAATCCATATATCTAGCCATTTCAACAACGAGCCCCACGATTTCGCATTTCCATGTCACCTCCTCGGAGAAAAGGCGACGCGGTAGGCTAACTCCTTTTCCAGCCCGATTATTTTCTGCATGAGCTTCATGTGTGCTAGCTCTAGTCTTAGAACTTGTATTCTAGCGTTAGAGATTTTCTTTAAGTTAGATTTAGCAAAAACAGGCTCGATAGGTATTACCATAAAGATAGTATCCTTTTGAAGTACCCCTATCCTCTCATCACACGTATCATTATCCTAAAGGCTATTTTTGCTCTTCGCTTCTTCATTTTTTGCTAGTTTTACACTGATGCTATTCCATAATGTCACCAAAAACCTTTCGATCACTTTTCAACCTAAAATGCTTTCTAGTTATTCATTGGGCAATGGTTCAGGTGAAATGCGGTATCTAAAAGTACTTGATTGAATTCATTGACATTCAATCTCGAGGCGGTAGTACC